CCGCTGTCCACCGGGGGCATGGGCCAGGCCGGCAGTACCAATCCTCCCTGTGCCCCAGCCTTCCCTCCTTTCCCACCCTGCCCGTCCACCCACCCCAGTGACACGCCCCTTGCTTATCATTTGTCTTCCAGAAGTTTCCAGTCCCTACACGTGGTCGCAGTGGTTCAGTGCAAGGAAGAAGTAAAAGCCATCGAAAATCCAACCAAAAACAAAACAAAACAACGCCCCCCGCCCCCCGAACACCTAGACGTATTGCTTGTTTCGCTTCCAGAAAGTTATTGGCTTTAAGTCCAAAAACATCTTCACATACTCTGAAATTATTGCTTCAAAGAGTTGGGAGTGGCCACTGCCGGCGGGGGCCAGGTCTCACTGCACCAGCACAAAGGTGCCCAGCTGGCCCACCGAGAGGTCCTCCATCTCACAGTCCCCCTGGGCCAGCCCTGTGGGCTCGAAACCAGGGGGCAGCACAGCCAAGTGAGGCTGAGGGGGTGCAGCAGGGACGAGGGGCGCAGTGGCCGAGCTGATACGCAGGTGGGCGTCCAGGAGCTGTGCTGTTGACGCCATGGGGGTGGCAGCGGCAGGGAAGAGGTGGGCCGGCAGGAGCGGGCTGGGCCCTAGCACCAGACCCTTCTGGAGCCCGGGCACCAGGATGCTGCTGGAGAGTGGGGAGGCGGTGCTGTCGCAGGTGGGAAGGACGTAGGGGGACGGGGGCGGTGGTGGTGGGGGCGCCTGTGGGCAGCTGGGCTGGGGCACAGCCACCGGGTGATGCTGTAACTGGAGCAGCCTGGAGGAACAGGGGAGGGCAGGTCACTCCCCATGCCTGCGCCCTTGCTGCCCAAAGCCTCCTCTGATCGGGTGTCTGAGCTGCCCATGGGTTAAAAAACCCCGCCTGGTGGACCTGCTGGCTGGGGCCAAGCAGAACACGCAATAATGCCGTGGGAGACTAGTCCCCCAAGCAGTCGCAATCTCTAACATTTCCATCCTCCATCCTGCTTGTAGACAGCAATGCGGAGATGCCACCCTCAGTCCCCACCTAGGGGCTCTTCAGGGTGACCACCTGACATGCTCACCTCCTCTGACTCCAGACAGCCAGGTGAGGCCCTGAGCCCAGGGAGCTCCCCCCCGACATGGGGCTGGGCGTACCCCATTACAGGGAGTGAATGGGGGCACTAGGATCAGGTTACAGGAGAGGAAAACCTGCATATACACAAGGCCCGCTGAGCTCAGGGTGACTGGACTGCGGGAGGCCACCTACCTCTGCTGGTGGAGCACCTCTTCCAGCAGGTTCCGGCCCTCCCGGCCACCTGCGCTTTGTGCGGAGCTCAGGCCACCTCGAGGGGCCCGGCTGGCGGCGGCGGAGGGCTGACACACCTGGCGGGCCAGTCCCTTGATCTTGTTCAGTCCCAGAAACCCTTTGGTCCTGGCGTTCTTCCTCAACTGCTGCCGGAAGGCTTTCAGCCCTGCGGGGACACAAGAGCACAGGTCGGGGGGCGGCCTCCAGGCCCAGGGGCTCCAAGGCCCTTGGCTCGTGAGGTCAGAGCACAGGGACAAGAGGCCTGCTGTGGTTCCTGAGGGGTTGAGCAGCACTCTCAGCACCACCAGGTCCCCAGAGGGCTTGGGGTGGCCTGCACAGGCACGTTCGGGCAGACCGCGGCTCTTCTGGAAGGCAGGCGTGAGCAGGGCATGTGTGCAGAGCCAGCCAGGCGAGCTGCTTTCCCCATGGTCCCCCTCATCCAGTCTGCCCTGAAGCATCTCAGGAGCTGCTGACAGGGCCGCTGGCCCATGACCTCAGCCTCTGAGTGCAAGCCTTACGGCACGACTGGCCCATACTGCCAGGGGTCCTAGTCCAGCTAAAGAAAACCCCAAATCTGAACCAGCTGCCACTGAGCCGCCGACTCCCACTCCTGGCCACCCTGCTCGCAGCAGAATAGAACTGTGCTCCGGAGGGGACTCCCCCGTGGCGGGCTTTCCCGTGGCAGGCTAGTTTGGATGTAGATCCCCAGGAGGTTCTTCCACAACACCTCGGGAGGGAACGGGGCCTCCAACTTTGCAGCTGGCAGCTGAGCATGCCAACAGCTAGCACGAGCCAGGGCTCCTCTCCGCAAGAGAGCAGGAAGGTTGCTGGCCACCAGGGACAGAGTCACACCCCTCCGGGACAAAGGGTCTCGTGGGAAGGGAGAGGCTGGGGAGTGGGGAGCAGTCACCTTGGGTGAGCGATGTGTCCGAGGCCCTCCGTCCTTCCTGGAAGCTGAGAGGGAGCGGGACGGTGCCACACAGGCCCCCCTGTGCCTGCAGGATGGGGGTGGTGGACTGGTCCCCCAGGCGTGGTGCGGCCACATGGACAGGCGAGCAGGTGCCCCCCAGCCCATGAGTGGCAAGGCCACCGAACCCCATGGGGCTATCACTTGCAGAGACGGTCAGGCAGCTGTCGGAGCTGGTCCCTTCGGATGACCCCGCCGCCGTGGCACAGGAGGAGGAAATGACAATGCCTGGAGGGAATGAGCACTGGCCATCAAGGGGTCTGCAGGCCCCGCCTGGTGAGAGCCTCTCCTCAGCCCCACCCCCAGAACTGCAGGGAAAGGGCATCTGCCAATGACCGGAGGCCTGGAAGCCCAAGGGCCGCAGGGGCACGTGGCCGTGGGTGGTGTACACAGCAGGAGAGTTGTGCAGGCCGAAGACCCACCTGCCGCCCACCAGAGCACCACATGGTGACCACAGACTAAGCCCCACGCCACCGCCTTCCCTGAGCAACCACACTGCGTGGCCTCAGAAAACGTGTCCTGGGAGAGGGAGCTGACAGGAAAGGTTCATTTTAAACTGGCCTGTCCTAGACTGAGAAGCCGCCCTGGCCGCTCAGGGGAGAAAGATGAGGATTTCTGTCCCGGAGAGGTGTGCGGCCTCGGAAGGCCACAGGGGAAGTTCCACCCTCTCCTAGAGGGCCGCTAGGAGTCAGAACCCACGTGGTGGCCCTGAGTCTGCTGCTTTTCTGGTTTGGTCATGGACTCAGCCACGAGCCCTACCACCTGCCCTGTCTTCTGTCCTCCCGGCCCCCACCCGGCCAGCGTGCCATGCCTGGGACACTCACATGGAAGGGTGTGTGGGGAAAAGTGGGTGGTGACTTCTGCCAGCGTGTGCCGCCGACCCGTGCCACTGGGCAGGGGCTTCTGGGCCTTCAGCTCGTCCTCCAGGCCCTGATCCTGCCTGGCCTCCTCACTGATGGCTGTGTCCAGCAGGCTGCTGGGGGAGACGGGGCGATGCCGGAACAGTCCCTCACAGGTGGCATCCACGGGGAAGAGCAAGGGCTGTGGCAGATGGAAACAAAGCTGTCTTCATCTGCTGGGGCCCTGTGAGACCCCAACCAGAGGCGGCAGTGGAGGAGGCCCCACGAACTGGCCGGCAGGGCATGGGACCTCCAGAGGTCACCGTGGCATAGGCTCACCTGGAGCGAGGGGCTGAGGTCGCAGTCCATCTCTACCTGCAGGACGGACTGCACCAGGTTCTGGGGCTGTGGGCACAGCAGGTGCGAGCGGAAGGGATCAACAGTGAGCCCCTCGTGGGCCACCTGGAGGCGGAGAGAGGCAGGCACCTTCTGAGCAAGGGGCTCCCTCTCCCTGGGGTGGGGGTGGGCAGAGAGGCGGGAACACACCCCAGAGGCCTGCTTCTGGCCTCACCTCAAAGCTGCAGAGCTCAGAGCTCTGGGGCCTGGGTACCCGGGTGGGCACCGGGCGGGCTGGCAGCTGGGCACTCCGATACTCCTTCAGCCGCTCGAGGAGGAGGTAATAGATGGCTGCGAAGTGGTTGTAGCTGCTGTTCTGCAGGGACTGCGACACAGAGGGAGTTTAGCATGAAGGTGCGGAGGGCAAAACCTTGGCTCGAGGCCGAGGAGGACAGATCTGCGAGGGCCCCCGAACTTCCCCCAAAGACAGGGCCCCAGGGGCTGTTTCTGATGGCCAAGGAACCACAGGGCAGCAGATGACCTAGCCCTTCTACCGGCCATATAGGTGCCTGCTCTGGCACTCTGGCACCCACGTCTTCTTCCACCTCCCGCCCAGCGCTGCCGGCAAGCCAGGTACCCAGCTCACCTCTGTGGTCTTCTGCCGGTCGATGCCCAGCATCTGCATGATGCCCAGCGCCTGCTCATTGTAGTCGCCCAGGTTGGAGTTGTAGTCCTGCCCTAAGAAGGCCAAGCAGGTGGGCTGCAGCAGCGTGGGCTCTGCCTGGATCCAGCGGTGCTGCTTGATTTGGTCGATGGTGATGCGCTTGGCGGGGTCCACCACCAACATGCGGCGGATCAGGGACTCACAATCTGCAGAGGGCAGAGGTGGCGCTGAGCCTGCTGCGGGCCAGAACCAGCAGCCCTGTGCAGCCCTGCTGGATCCAGGGCTCGTACCCTTCCCTCGTACCCTTCCCAGCCAGCTACCCTCTGCGCTCACAACAGGTCAAGACTCTTTATGCAACAAGACCTTCAGGGGAAAACCCGCTGGGAGCTGGCCAGTGGGCAAGACTTGAGGTGTCAGCCAGAAAGGGGACCCCACAGAAGGGCGACTCTGCCACGGGGGTGTGAGCTGGGCCCTGAAAGGAAGGTACTGGGAGTCCTGTGGGGATGGGTTTCTCCTCGGGACCCCGCGCCCACGCCTCGCAGTAACACAAGCTGACTCTCAGCTTTTGCTGTGCTCTGGAGGATGGTGGGGGGCAGCCAGTTAGGGAACTTGAGTCCTCCCCGCCACCCATGCAAGGCTCCAGGCTGGGCTAGCCCCCACAAGGAGCAGGCCTGCCGCCCACCTACCTTGGGACATGAAGAAGGGGATGCGAAAGCGGCCCTCCAGCACCCGCTGCCGCAGGGTGGGCAGGTTGGGCCCGTCGAAGGGCAGCGATCCGCACACCAGCACGTACAGCACAACTCCAAGGCTCTGCAGATACCAGGCAGTCCCCGTGAGTGGTCGGTGGGACATCCCGGGCACCCACCGTGGCACAGCCCCGGGCAGACCCCTTACCCAAACGTCGAGCTGTGGACCTTCGTACTCCTTCCCTTCAAAGACCTCTGGGGCGGCATATGGGGGGCTCCCACACCACGTGGACAGGGCTTCTCCTGGCTTGTAGAAATTCCCGAACCCGAAATCTGAGAGGGAAAGAAGCCAATGAGGTGACCTGGGGACAAGGCAGGCTGTCGTTCCTGAGCCGTCCCCAGCACCCTGCACTAGGCTTCGTCCTCCCTGGCGCCAGCCCGGGGGCGTCCTTGCCTGCCAGCTTGATGTCCATGTTGCTGTCCAGCAGCAGGTTCTCTGTCTTGAGGTCTCGGTGCACGATGTGGTGGCTGTGGCAGTACTCCACGGCCGACAGGATTTGCCAGAACTTCTTCCGCGCCTCCTCCTCACTCAGGTGCCCGTTGGAGGTCAAATAATCTGAGGAGGGATGAGACAAAAGCCATGTCCAGAGGCTTGCCTGCCCCCTTGGAGCAGTGACCAAACACGGTTGCAGTTTAAGGCACAGGAGCCCAGACCCTACCAGGCAATCGCAGGCCTGTTCACACCAGGTATCAGAAATAAGCGCCACTTACCAAACATCTCTCCGTTTTTCGCAAACTCGGTGACAATGTAGAGCATGTCCTTGGTTTCCATAACCTAAAGAAAGAGAGGACCGGACACTTAACCACAAAGAGGGGACACCCCTTCCATCTGAACAAGCCATTCAAAATGCAGGGAGGGTCCAACTCCTCGTGAACACAGGCACACGTCGTTTCAAAAAGGCAAAGAGACGAGTGTCCGTGAGAGAGAAACCAGTCAGGGTGTGGCTATCCAGAAACAAGAGCGCCTGGGCAGCTGCAGAAGCTCGGCTGCTAGCGAAGAGGTTGGACGCTCAAGTTCAAGAGAAGGCATGTTGGGAGAAAGGCCTGGCAATCTATTTTTTTTTTTAAATCAACTACCACAAAGTATTGTGGGACACAGCTCTATCTGGATATGCGTGGGTTCGGGGGTAGGGGGGGACTACCCCGAGACAGGATCGACTCAGTAGCAGCTGGTGTGTGTGTGTGTGTGTGTGTGTGTGTGTGTGCACGCACACACTCAAGTTTAATTAAAAAGGGATTGAGAGGGAAAACTGAGATAAGTTCCAGTTTGCCTGTCTTGATACATCCTTGTTCTTAAACACGAGCAAGTAGATGAGAGTATTTGGATGTTACTGCATTCACACAGGTTGCTTTAGACACTACTTGGTGGACACAAGAGGCTGCAGACCTGAAACAGAGTTCATGCCTTCTACCAGGGCTTTCTGTGAAAGAAGCCTGACTAGCCAGTCAGTGATTCCAGGGCTACCTGGATCAGCACGAGCTGAGCAATAGATAACCAAGGCCCCCATGCCATTCATTTTATTGACATGATAAGTGAGGCTGAAGGAGGGCAGCTGTGCCAGGTGAGCTACCACAGGCTGCCCTTTGTCCACAAATTCCTCCACATGTGTCAGCAGCAATAGCCAAGGTCAATACACAACTTAAGACTGCTTTATTGATCAAACATTTTATGTTACTTGGAAGACATTTTGAAGAGAGCTTACAATTTGTCACTAATTAAGAAGCATGATAAAATTCAAATTTGGAAGGGCTGAAACATGTAAACACACACACACATATATACGCATACATATATATATATACATACTACATATATATTTCATAGGGAAAGAAAGGAAATCCAGTCTTATAGTATAAGAGTTTTTTGAGTTGAAAGTATAATTCCATGTATGGATTGTGTTAAGAGTTGTACGAGCCCCCAATAAAATGATTTAAATATAATAATAAAAACAAAAACAAAACAACAAAAAAAGAAAGTATGATTCCTTCTTTAAACACAACTATAAAGAATAAAACAAACAAGAAAAGCCCCACTGTCCTCAAGTCAGGAACTATTCACAGCGACCCTGTAAAACAGAACAGAACTGCTCGGTGGGGCTTCTGAGACTAGAAATCCTGCCAGGAGCAGACAGTCTCGTTTTTCTTCCTAGGAGCAGATGGTGGGTTTGAACCGGTGACTCTGTGGTTACGCACTGAGCCCAGGACTCCTTAAAGACATGCTGAGCCATAAACCTAACAAGAAAAGTGAACACCAGGCAGGTCCGCTGGATTTTCAAGTGGCCCTGCTCCTCAGTGTGTGTGACAGAATGATTAGTGGGAAGGTTGCTGTTGGTCTTTCTTCCCTCCATTAAAGAAAAAGAAGACGCATAGCCATGGCCGCTGCAGAAGAAAGAATTAAGAGTACAAATGTTTGAAGGTTTCAAAAACCTGAAGGGAAGAGCAAAGTGTCTCAGCAGCAGTGCTCTGGGGCCTGCGCCAGCTGGCTGGAAATGAGACAGGAGTGTCAAAACCAGAGTAATGTAAGTCCCCGCTTCTAGAGTCTCCAAGCAGTGGAAGAATCACCTACAGCCAGAACAACATTCACCTGCAGAAAGGCCCTCACAGGCCCATCTCTCTGCCTCACCTGCCTCATGAACTGATTTAATTCCACCACTACAGGCAGAGGGGAGGAGCAGGAAGAAAAGAAAAGTGCTTGAAAGGGAGGTTAACGCCCAACCCTGTCAGCAAAGTCACAACAGAAATAAGACAGCCCACAACAGCCAGGACCCTCTGTCAAGGGGTCCCTCTCTCAGCTACTGACAGCGGGCATTACGGAAGAGAGTGGTCTAGGTGACTCAACTTCAAAACGGCAACAGACGCAAACCACGAGCCCCCACCTGCACTCGCTGTGAATTTTGTACTGCAAGACCCCGGAAGAAACTGTCTTTAGAGCAGCAGTTCTCAACCTGTGGGTCGCGAACCCTTTGGGGATCAAACGACCCTTTCACAGGGGTCGCTTGATTCATAACAGTAGCAAAATTATAGCGATGAAGTAGCAAAGAAAATAATTTTATGGTTGTGGGGGTTACCATATTAAATGGTTTAGAGGGAATACAAGTCAATAATCCTCCTTCTACCCTTAATTTAATTCAGTGGGGACTTCTGTGGGATTGTTTTTCTCTCTCCTACCCTGCTTTTAAGAAGACCCTGAGTAGCACAAACAGTTAAGTGCGCAGAGCTCGTCAGTTCCAACATACCCCGGATGCCTCGCCTCGGGAGAAAGGCCTGGCGAAATGTCTTTGAGAGGTCATGACCTTGAAGACCCAGTGGAGAACAGGTGTGCTCCGCATACGTGCTCGGGCGCCAGGAGCCGGGCTGACTTGACAGCCACTAGACAGCATCAACCACATCTTTCACTTGGCCCAGCGTGCCAGTTTGGAACACACATTCGGGACCCATCCCATGCCTACTCAGATCCCATGCCCATCTCAGATCCACACGGCAGCAGTGTCAAGAGAATCATGGGCAGGAATGTATGCCCAGCATGAATGGATGGAATATTGAATATTTACCAAGAATTTGTTCTTCTGCAACTAAGACTCAGTCTCATCTTTGCAGAAGTGGCCATTTATGAGGGAGGGGGGGGAAGGAGTATGCCTTTGTTGACCTAATTAAGTTAGTCCTTACTTCTCAAAACCAAAATTTATTAGTTTCAACACAACAAAAATACAGTCAACAAAATGCACCAGCAGATGTGAGGCCCGTGGTAATTTAACGTGGATTAAATTACAAATTCCTTGGTCTTAACGTTACAAACGTACTTCCAGCTCTGTTTCTGACAGACAAGCCCAAAGAGGGAAGACAAATGCTCCGGGCTGCCCGGGCAAAGGCAAGCTACAGGACAACTTCGAGGAGAGGCTGGTTTTTAAGTCTCATCTGCAGGGGTAGAAGTTTCTAATCCCACTCAAATTTGTCCTCCCTTACTAATAATGGCTGGACCTGCCACAACACAATTGGCTGGTTGTTTTCATAGTAAAGCAAATATAACCTGCCCCAAAGCATTTACATTTGGATCAGATTGCAATACTAAATAAAAATTTAATGAAGCAAATCTCAATTATCTGGTCCAAAAGCAGGAAAATAATTGTAAATAAATGAGCACGCCTTAACAAAAAAAAATCAATATCTGCTGCTTAAATAGCCAACTCCTGGATTCTCCTCTCCCCACACATAATGCCCCTCCCCACCTTAGCCCCCCCCCAAAATGAGCAACCTTCAGAAATGATAGATCTATTTTGTCAAAAATAATTCATCTCCAGAATTAATAGCAAAAGGCAAGCAAGCCCTTACCTGATAAAGTTTTATGATGTGAGGATGGTTCAAAAGCTTCATAATCTGAACCTCTCTATATATTTTCTCCAAATTGCTTGAATCTAATCTTGCTTTATCGATTATTTTTATGGCAACCTATAGATTTTAAAAGAAAAATGTTTGTTAAAAAAGAGGTGGGGGCCTAATACCTTAACTGATACATTTAATTTTTCGCTAGGCAAATTTCCACAATACCTTATCCATAAGGTCACCCAAAAAACACGGAGGGGGACAACAGAAGCCAGTGATAGGACTACCATAACCAAGTTAAACAAACATCTGAAGTGTCTGCAGAGCAGACTCCCTGGGCTTCCGCTCCCATCCTCCGCACTCAAGGCTTTTGGACAATAGCCCTTTGCCATCCTCTTTGTACGTGTACACATGATGCATTAACACCAAGGATGATCTTTTCTTTTCCGAACTAGAAACTGCCAGCATTTGGGCATGAATCCCATCAATGCCACGCAGGGCACGCACCCTGCAGACCTCCAGGGCGAGTCCGTTCTCGGGCTCCCTCGCGGGCCCACCCCTTCTCCCTGGGGCGCCCCAAGTCGATCTGGTCCGGGCGCCGCCGTGCACGCACCTGGGTCTTGGTGACTCGGTGCCGGGCCAGCTTCACTACCGCGAAATTGCCTTTCCCTAGCGTCCGCTCGATGTCGTAAAAGCCCACTCGCAGGGGCTTCTGCAGGCTCTGGTCTGAGCCGGCGACCGCCGCGCGGAACTCCGACATGATCACCATGGCTCTGGCGACTGCACCTGCCGGACAGGTGGGGGGGAAGCGCGCTCACCACCAGCCCACCAGGACTCTCCAGCAGGAACCCCCCAGCCCGCGCCCGGATTCCCCGACGCGGACTTTCCGAACCCAGGCCCCCACTGGGCTTCCTCCACCCTTCGAGCCCACGACTACTCGATTCATCGCACCCGAACCCCCGGTGCTGCCCAGATCTCCCGCCCCTAAAACCCCCGACCCCGACCTCCCAGCGGGAGCCCTCGCGCCCACATTCCCCGACCTAAGTGCCGCGCGCCCGCTTCGTCCCCCAGGGGTGCGCGCCGCCGGCTGTCCGATCCACTCGGGACTTCAGAGGGGGGCAGAACGCGTGGACCTCTTCCCAGGCCGGTTCCTCTCCGCCGGCAGTGGGCTTAGCGAGGCGCGAAGTCCACCTCCCACACTCGGCCCTTGCCTTGGGCGCTACTCAGGACTCCCGGACCCCCTTTCCGGCGTGGGGTGTGTGGATCGGTTCCCACCCCCGCTCCCGCCGCCAGCTCTACTCTGAACTCAGACTCTTGCCGGAGCGCGTGGACAGTCCTCCCCCTCCACCGGCCCCGGGCCCCTCGACGCGCAGAGCCCCCTCCCACAACCACCGCCTGCCCCACAACAAAGGGGATCCCGGGGGGCGGCCAGAGCCACCACGCTGCCGCGACGCGAGCGCGTGCACCTGCGAGGCCTCCGGGACCCCGAGCGGCCGTCGGAAGCCGCGTCCCCGCCCGGCTGCCCGGCTGCCCGCGCCGAGTCCCACACCGCGAGCCAAGTCCGGCCGCGCCGCCGCCGCCGCGGAACCTCCAGCCGCTCACCTCTGCCGCCCTCGGGCGGGCCCCGCCGGGCACCAGCTCGGAGCCCGCAGGCAGGGAATCTCGGGCGGACCCGCCGCCCCAATGCTGCTCGCGCCGCTCTGGCTGCTGCTGCTCGCGCCGCTGCCGCCGCTGTTGCCGCCGCCGCCGCCCGGGCTGCCGCCGCATGTCAGCTCTGAGACCGGCGCCGCGCGATCCCAGCAGCCGCGCCGCCGCCCCGCCCACCGCCGCTAGGCCCCGCCTTGTGCTCGTCCTCTGCCGTTAGGCCCCTCCCCACATCCGCCGGCTGTACTCCCGCCCCCATAGGCTCCGCCCCCGCTCCCGCAGGCCTCGCCCCACACCAGGCGGCTCCGCCCTTTGGACTCCGCCCTCCCCATCAGGCCCCGCCCCCATGCTGTACCACCACCCATTAAGTCTTACTCCTGCACTAATAGGCCACGCCCCGTGTCGCCAGCCCCTCCCTCTAACCCCGCCCCTGTCCGGTCTCGCCCCTCCGCCGCCGCCAAATTGATACATTCCCATTGACGTCGCTTTGACGCCAGAGCGACGCGCGACCTAGCGCGAGGCGGAGGGAGAGCAAGAGATGGGGCCGTTGCCAAGACACTGCCGCCTCTGACGCGGGAGCTGATGAGACTGTCGCCCTAGCGACCGCGGAACGGTGACGTCAGGGGCGCCGGCCGCCGAAAGCCGGCGAGTCTGTCGGTCGGCCGGAATGCTCCAGGCGCGGCGTCCCCTACAGGGAGCGATCGGCACCGCAGGCGGTTTTAACCCAGCAGGCGCCGCACCTCTTGCAAATACTAACGCCGGCTAACACCTAGCGTATTTGCCCGTACCTTCTCAGCGCGCACTCGCCCTTGTCCAAGTCTCACCGTCCTTTCTCCTACCCTTGCAAAGGGGCGTGTGAAGGCGGTTCCGAGAACGCCAAGTGCAGACACAGATAAGGTTTATGTAACCTTGAGACCCTCTCTTAGGGTCCCTGTGACTAGCTCCGATCTCTCCTAAAGTTACCACCCAGATCTGGAAAATACCATCCTTTGGAAGAAGATACCCTAGGGTACATGGAATGAGTCTCTGAGTGATGCACACAGTTAAGCACTCGAAGCCCCCCGACTACTAATCAAAAGGTTGGAAGTTCGAATCCACTTGCAGGCGACTTGAAAGAAAACCTGGTGTTCAACATCCAATAACTCAACCATAGTGGGCGGGGGAGGGGGGGAATGGATCACAAGTCTATTCTGGCACACATGGCGTCATCATGAATCAGTCGGCTCCACAGGCAACTAACAATGAGAGGTAGAAACGGATAAATCACAGAGACGCTTGGTTCTTTATGCAGGACCTATGGGAGGGGAGTGGGATGTGCCTGCCATGTGACCACGTGTACCTTCACCTTCCCCAGAGAGGAAAAACCACCTGCTAGACAGAGTAGGAGTGTATAGCGATATTACATGAAATCGTCGTCATGCATTCAGAAGTGTCCATTAGTCAAACTGGGCGGGTACTTTCGTCTGTAAACATCAGCAAGTTAGAAACATAAGAAGCATACGAGAATGTGGTCAGCATGGTCTGGAAAACTGCCCTCAGTGGTTCCCTGCCCACCCAGACCCCCCACTCCCCCACCCCCTCGCGCTCCTGACCTGCTGGCCTCCCTGATGGCTAATGTTCCATGTAGACTTGGCTAGGCTGTGGTTCTCAGTGGGTTGGCAGACGGTGGGCTACATAAGCTTCATAACATAAGGGAATTGTCCTCTCATTCTGTGATCTGATGTAAGCTGCCAATCAGTAGAAAAGCCAATCAATTGAAAACTCATTTCCTTGGGCGTCGGTCTATATCCCATTTATGTGGATGTTTTGGCAAAGTGCTTGCTCCCTCCTCTCTCTGCCCTCCCACTCCCACCCCAATCAGATTCATCACCCTCTGACCTCTGCCTCTTGGGATGTGAGCCAATATCCTGCTACTTGACCTGCTGACATGCGTCAGGAGAAGCCTCTAACCTGACTACCTGACCCAAGTAGTTGGGACTTGCCAACCTTCACAACTTTATGAGCCATTTCCTTGAAATAAAATTGTTGATACCTATAAGGAGCCCTGGTGCTGCTGTGCTGAGCATTGGGCTGCTTACCATAAGGTTGATGGTTCAAATCCACCAGTCGCTTCTCCAGAGAAAGATGGGGTTGGCTGCTCCAGTAAAGATTTATGCAATGTTTCTGCAGTGTTTCCCCATGGGAGTTATACTGCCCCCTTTGGGGACTAGGCACTGGAACGATTCAGGGGTCTGCAAAAGCAGATAATCTACACTTTATCTGGATTATAGGTGATAGTGCAAAAGGTTTACATTGAAAACCCTATTGTAGCTATGAATTGGAATCAACTCAAAGGTGATGTGTCTGGTTTGGGGACAGATATATATGTATATATTCATATATTTTTATATATACATAAGTACAGACATGTAAGGGGACTTCAAAAAGTTTGCAGCAAACAGAATGAAAAGATCATGGAATTTCTCCATAAACGTTTTTAAGCCCCCTCATGCACATTCTTTGAGGAAGTCCTGGCAGCACATGGTTAAAGCACTTGGTTGCCAACTAGAAGTGTGGTGACAAACTTTCCAGTTTCTGCCTAGGAGAAAGAGGTGGCAGTCCATTTCCATAGAGATGGAGCCCAGGAAACCCTGGTGGGGCACTTCTACTCTGTCCTGCAGGAGCATTACGAGTTGGGATAGAGTCAACAGCAGTGAGGTTTTTACATAAGCAGCACTGGTTTTGCCCCTCTCGAGAACCCAGCAAAAGACAGCCTCCAAAGGTGGACAGAATGCTTTCTCCAGACAGCAAAATGAGCTTCATCCAAGGCAGTGGGTGGGGAACGACTTTCAGAAGGGTCCTTTCCACAGTGATGAACTTTGGCTCACCCTGGCGCCTCCATCATCCCATACCACTGATACAATGGCTTCTGGTGGCCGGGAGAAGTCTTGGGGTGCTCTCTGAGACTCCACCAAATCTCATTTGATGAGAAAACCTAGTGGGGAAAGGGAGGGAGCAGAAGGGGAAAGGGACTTGGAGAGGCCCCACAAGAAGTGGATGTAGACTCTGCGGAGGGCTTCACGTCCTTGACCCCAGGGTATTGGAAACTCAGTGACACTCTCCACAAAGTGGGTTTGCTCACTGGCAGGTACATTCCCTTGGCCAGGCGCTCTGCCTTCCTCCAGCAAAAGCACCCAGCCCTGCCAGTGTGCAGATTCCCCAGGAAGGGCTAACAGATGGGTAGGGACCTCACCTTTCAACAAGACTGGAGCCGCAGCCTCCCAGTGGCAGTAGGTATTTGTCCTGTAGAGTCACCATGAGTTGGAATTGACACGTTGGCAGTATTTGCCATCTTTGCTATTTCTCTAGACAGTTGCAGCCACCTGGCAGCAAAGTGTGTGTGTGTGTGTGTGTGTGTGTGTGTGTGTGTGTCCAGGGTGGGTGTTGGGTCTGACACCTGAGGGGGCCTAAAATAAAGCCCAGTGATCAGGTCCCATTCGAGGACAGAGACATGACAATGGTGCCTGAACAGCTTTCTGTTTGCCTTGATTTTCATCCTTCAGAAAATCCAGCTTTTTCTGTTAACGAAACATAGAGGGTGTGAGCTTATGGGGGAAACAATGTCAGCATTAGGAAGACAACAACTTGGGCTTTACATTCTACCTGTAGCTCAGAATCATTTTCCTCTGTTTCAAACGTACTACTTCATAGCAGGGAAGCAAGGAAGCCAGAATGGCACAAAAGTGATACCGAACTTGGCAGAGGTGGCGGGCCAGCTCCACTGAGAAGAAACTGGACAGACTGCCCCTGATGCATAGCTACCAGCCTGACCAAATATTTCCCAATCGCTCCCCTCAGGCGTTGCTTGTGGGTCAATTTGTTTCCAAAGGTCTTTCAAGGACCCTAATAGCCTCAAAGTTTTCCCAAGTCTTAAAAAAGTAATCTCCTTATTTGTCCAAGGTTTATACACCCAGAATGTGAAGGAATATTTTTAGTTCCTTCCAGCAGAAGAGTTTACAATGACTTCTCTCCCCTCTGGGAGTCTTTTACACCTTGCTCTTCTGTTCTTTAGAAAGAAAATTTCAGAATGAAGAGACCAGGGACACGAAGGCACTCCAGTCCTGTCCCTCATCCCGGGACCCAAGATCTTGCCTCAGGAATCAAATTGCAACACCCAGAAAGCCTCAACCCCACACCCCAGGACTGACTCGTCAGAAGCTTGGATGTTTGTAAGCACCTGGCTAGCACCCCAGGACTGACTGGTCAGAGGCTTGGGTGTTTGTAAACACCTGGCTAGCAACTTGGAAACATTTTGTCAGCACCAAATGAAAATCACAACCAAACAGCCCAGCTGACTTCCCTGGATCTAGAGATGTTTCCTGGACCTATGTATTCTTGACCCTATTGTAGCCACCCTGAACTTGAACAGCCCCATGTGAGCAATGGCCATATTGTCTCTCCCTTCCACCAGCCTTGGTTAAAAGAAAGGCAAGGAAAATTTAGGAAAAGATCAGCCTCAGAATGGTTTGTCTTCTCTGTCTGTCTGTCTTATCAGCCCTGGCGGTGCAGTGGTTACGTGTTCATCCGCTAACTACAAGATCAGCAGTTCAAAACCACCAGCTCCTCAGAGGTGAAAAATGGGGCTTTCTACTCCTGAAAAGAGTAGCAGTCTCAGAAACTCACACGGGCCATTCTATCCTGTCCTAAAGGGTTGCTAGGAGTTGGCATTGACTCCATGGCAGTGAGATTAGTCAGTTTGATTTTGGAACTCTCTCTCTGGCTCTCTCTCTCGCTCTCGCTCGCGCTCTCTCTCTCTCTCACTCACTCTCCCTACTTACCTAATCTCTTTACAGGCACGATAGTGTTACAATGTTACATCCTCTCCTCACCACCTTCCATGCAGGAGACTCGTTCTTCCCAATATTAGTCATAGTTTGTTATCATCACACAGATGGATGCCCTTGCATAGCCAATGAAGCACAGGTAAACATCTTTCCGGTCTTCTCTGCTTTCAACCCAGGTCCATCTGATGTCAGCAATGATAGCCTTCCTTGCACATCCGCTTCTGAAACTGACTTGAATTTCTCGTAGCTCCCTGTGGATGTACTACTGCAACTATTTTTGAAGTATCTTCAGTAAATCTTGACTTGTATATGATATATTTTTTGAATCATTTTATTCAGGGCTCATACAACTCTTATCACAGTCCA